AGCCCGGCTCCTGCTGGCCCCGAGCAGGCAGGTCGCCACCATCACAGCGCCCCTGCTCGGGGCTCCACGCACACAAGGGCTTCTGACCTAGTTTCTATCAGGCCTCAAACCAGCTCTACCACCTAGACCCTCCAGGCCCCTTGTACTTGGCGTGTCCCCAACGAAACCCACTGATCCCCGTAAGCCCATTCTGTACTGTCCTTTCCTGGTGACCGGCACTCCTCCAGTCCCCCCTCCCCTCCCAGAACAGGCCTGGCTCTCACCCATTGGTCTGTGCCATGCCACGCCCTCCGCCTGGACTCCCAGCCTAACCCCACGCCCTCCGCCTGGACTCCCAGCCTAACCCGCAGCCACAGGGTGGTGCTTCATCCCGGAGCGCCTTGCTGTCCATATTCATTTATTTTTCGGAGAGGTTTTTGCTACAGGGAGCCTGTGCTTGCCAGAGAGACAGACAGACAGCGAGAAATCACCCCCCTGGGGGATGGCCACGCTGCAATCCCTTCTCCATTCTCCTCTCAGGATCTTGGGCACGCACGCACATGCGCCCGGCGTGTGAGTTTAAGCCACTGGGTCTGGGACTTGAACCATGATCGACTACATGGGGGTTCAGCAACATAGCCATCATGCCAACTGCTGGTCCCATTGCTGTCCTTTTTAAGGCCCTTCAGTGAGCTGGTCCTTCCAGAATGACTTCCCAACTATGCTCTATGTCTTAGAACCGCTGCAGAGGCTGGGGCCAGGATGAGGGCAGGCAGGTGGGGCAGGACACAGTCCCCGTCCCTTCAGGTCTCACGAGTGGTCCGGAGCACCGGAAACACGCAGTGCCCTGGCCCAGCTCTTGGGCCGTTCTGCCCGGCGTTGTGTCCTCTCGCCCCCGGGATGCCTTCCCGAGCGTTGCTCCAGGCTAGCAGCCTGCCCCTGCTCCCCAGTGGCCATCCCGTGTCCCAGCTCTCTGTCTCCACCGGCCACCCCATGTCAGGCCTCCCTGTCACTCACTCGGGGCTCAGCACAGCCTCATGGTCTGTCCCTAGGCTGCCCCGTTCAAACCCATCCTCCACAGACCCCAGGTCTTGCCCCCTTCCAAGAGCCCTCAGCACCTGCCCATGGCTGAGTGCTTAGGGAGCCAGATCCCACATGTCCAACTGCAGTTTGAATCCCAGCTCTGGCAGCTTGAGAAAAAGGTGCATGTGTGTGCACCCCAAGTCCCGTGAGGGTGGAGAAATGGAGAAGGGATTGTGTGAGCAAGCCCACTGTGGGGGGCTTTCTCCTCTCATTCTGTTTCTCTCTCTGGCAAGCACCCACCCATACTTCTGGCACAGCCCTGGGGCCCCTGGCACCGGGGTCTACCCCCTCGCCAGGCTCACCGTGCAGGCAGGTCACAGCCCGGTGGTCCCTCACCCCACGCAGGAGGCCACTCCTCAGCCACCACCCAGCCCACCTCGACTGGCGGACTCCCACACTCCCTTCACTACTGCAGTGGGGGCTCTACCAGGGGCCTTCCCACAGGCTGCGGCACCAGCCGGGGCGCCTCTGCCCGTACTGGCAGTGACTGAGACTCTGCTGGGCATGACCCTCCTCACACCCGCACACAAATGGCAGGGCCGTGGTCTGTGTTCCTCTGGGTCCCCAGCATCCGGCATGTGGGGTTGGCCACCGTGGAGGTGACAGCCACTGCTCACCTTCCTTCCCTTCTCCTGGGCACTGCTGACCACACGGTTCACCTCGCTGGCATAGGCCTCCGCTAGGTCGGGGTGGTCTTCTCGGTAGAGGCCCCGGTAGGCGTCTGGGAGAGGTGCCTGTGGGCGTGAGAGTACCACGTCACCCAGGCTCAGGGCGGCCCCGGCAGCCTGCCACTGACCTAGCGCATACCACGTGGACCCACTCCTTCTGGCCGTCCAGGTCCTGGAACTTGTAGGGGCTGATGTCAATCAGGGAGCTCAGGTGACCATGATAGGCGCTGGGGAGGACAAGGGGTGGGCTCAGGCCCCGGCAACGTGGACTCCCTGGCCCGGCCCTGGCCACTGTCTGCCCACTTCCAGAGACACGGGGAGGCTAGCCTTTCTGATGTGGCCCTGAGCCTTTGGCCTTGGGGACAGCAACATTTGCTGCAAGGCTACTGGCTGTGTAACCCGGGGTTCTCCTTGGGGTTTGCTGATGCTCGGGGCCTGGGCCTGGGTCCGGTGCACGTCAGATACTTAATACAGGGGGCTACTGTTAGGGCAGGTGGGGCATCTACATGTCCCAGGACTGGCTTTCATTCCCTTATAAAACGTCCCCTCATGGTGGCCCCAGGGGACTGAGCCCGAGGGAGGGGTTCAGGCCCAGCCTGGCTGCTTCATCCTAGGAGCCAGGCCCCTCACTCCCTCTGCCTAAGGCTGCCTTTGGCAGCCTCTCAGCCCCAGTGGGCCCGGGGGCCGCTGGGCAAGGGCAGGCTGTGAGGTACTTACTGCTCCAAAACCACCACGTCCTGGTGTCCCGTGTACTGGCGGGCCAGCCTCAGGGCCAGGTCGTTGGCTTCTGACCTGAGACAGGAAAGCGGGCTCAGGCATCTAGGAGTTTCCCCCAGAGAAGCCCTGAGGGTAGGAGGAGCCCTTCCAACAGTAAGTGGGTTCTTGGGAATGAAAAACAAACAAAAAATACGAGAACAAAAAAGCCAGCCAGATCTTGGCCCTCCTGGAACTGACCCTCCAGTCCAGTTCAGGAATTCCGAAGAGCAGGGTGAGCACTTGGACCTGCAGCGGTGGAGATGGGGTGCCCGGTGGAGAGCCAGCGGGGCCCTACTTCAGAGGGGCTGCAGGGCTAACCTGTCCCACGTTCACGTTGAAGCCTCCACTCCCAGGACATCGGAATGGCCTGCGGGGACTGTCCTGAGACAAAGGCCCCTGACAGGTGACTAGATTAAAACAAGGCCATCGTCTGACCGTGTCCCCAAGGGAATCTGCTGCAGACACCACAGGCGGAGTCTGACCACGGGGAGGTGGCCCTCTGCAAGCCGGAGGAGCCCCAGAAGAAACCAAACCCGATGACACCTTGACCTTGGACTTCCAGCCTCCAATAACGTGAGAAAACAAACTTCCGTGGCCTGGTGGTTAAGGGAACGGAATTCCATACGGTCAACTGTGTGGTTTGAGTCTTGGGCGCAGTGGTTTGAAAAACATGCTGGGTGGGGGACCAGCAGTTAGCGTAATGGCTATGTCCTGGACTCCCACATAGTCAACCACGGTTTGCGTCCCGGACCCGGTGGCTTAAAACTCACGCCGGGCGCGTGTGCGTGTGTGCCCAAGATCCCGAGAGGAGAATGGAGGAGAAGGGATTGCGGCGTGACCATCCC